GGTGGGTGGGAAGGACACAGAGTGACTGCCTAGCGGTAACTGCGAAGGTGGGCCTCCTTGCCGCAGGACCTCCCTGGATTCGAAGCGTGCAGATACTGGCTGCTCCTTCAGCAGGGTGGGCACTGTAGGAGCAGGGGTGATGGGTTGGCCAGACACAGCTTCCGATAAGCTTGCTTGTCTTGCTTCGGCCTCAGACTCCTTCCTTTCATCTCTGTAAGCTTCTAATACTTCCAGAATAATCCCACTGTCGGTTTCCTTCTGAGCTTTGCCCAATGGCTCTTCTTCAGACACAGTCCAAGCCACTTTGGTGCCCAACGGCTCTGTGCCTGGAGGGGGCCTGTCAGCTAAGGTCACAGCAGGACCCGCAACATCCCTGCTTCCCAGGGAGACAGCTTGCTCCAGGGGTCTGCTTATTTCCTCGGGATAGTCAATGACGCTGCCTGGGAGGTACGTGCATGAAGAGAGTTCCACGGAAGGCTCGCTCGTGGCCATCAGGGTCCCGGGCTCAGTGGAGGCCACATCCAGGCTGGCGGCAGGTGACGAGCTGTCTGTGGTGCACAGTGAGGACAGTGAGGATGCAAGTGAGGGTGAGGGTGAGTCCGAGGGTGGCAGTGGGGCTGCGCTCTCCACGCAGGTCAGGATCAGGGACTCATGGGCAATGATCTCTTGGATTTCTCTCGTGTAGTCCGTCACATACTCATCCTCGATTTCTTCTGTGGAGAAGTGCTGGGTTATTCGCACGTCCGGGATGGAGAGGGTGGCGCTGCTCGTCGAGTCTGTCAGTGACGCCCCCGAGAGGATGCTAGAGGTGAGCGAGGCATCGGGAGCGCGGTCCAGGTCCAGATCCTCCCCGGCTGCTGTCACCTCGTCCCCCGTGGGGGGTGCGGCACTCAGCTGCAGCCGCCGCCTCAGGAGCTGCTCATAGGCAGCATCAGCATCCAGCAATTCTTTCTCCTCACTGGTGGCCGTCACCAGCGTATCCAGATCCACTATCTCGTGGCTCTCAGGGATAATGTAGGAGCTCGACACGATGTCCTCCTGAGGCACAGCCACGTGCAAGCTCTCCAGCTCGTAGAACTCCTTCTGGAAGTCCGTGATCTGCATGGAGTCCTCATAAATGTGCTCTGGAAGCCCTGCCTTTGGCTCTCTCACTCTCGGCAGCTCTAGTCCAGGCTCCTCCTCGGGCCCCGCCAGGACGCTGCCGTTCGTGGGTCCCGTGAGTGCGTCCTCCACGAGCGACTCATAGATGTAATCCTCAATCAGCATCCCGCCATACAGTGGCTCCTTCTCGAATGCCTCATCCCGCTCACCCGTGGCTGGGAGCGCCCTGTACCTGTGTGGCCTGTGCACAACGTCTTCGTACATCTCCTTGGCACTCCTCGGTGCCTTCCGGGCATCTTCCTCTGGCCCCACCGGCTGTTCCTCTGTGGGCGAGCGCAGTGACACAGCAGCCGGTAGTCTGTAGACCTTCTGCACCTCGATGATTTTCTCGGGGCTGATCTCGAAGCCATCGGGGTCGGACTCGAGGCTGGGCGAGTACTCAGAGCAGGAAGAGCGCTGCAGCTCCTGCATCTCGGCCGCTTGTCGCAGCTCCTCCGTGGGAGATGCGTCCTCTATGGGTGACAGCGTGCTGGGCGGTGTCTTGGGCCGCTCACGCCGGCGCTGCGCTCGCAGCTCCTCCTTATCCTTCTTGGACTTCCGGCCGGCGCCCTTACGCTGCTGCTGCTCCACCTCGCGCTGCCGCTCCTGCTCCCGCAGCAGCTGCTCCTCCTCACGTAGCTCCTCCTCCTCCGAGGAGTCCTCGATGGTGGGCAGCGGGGGCCCGTGGCTGCGGTGCCGAGCCTTGCGCGGCTGCTTGCCCTCGCCCCGCCGGTGGCTCGGGCTGCTGTCGCTGTCCTCATCCAGCGATGACACGGACGTGGGCGAGGTGCCTGGCGTGAAGCTGGATGCGTGCAGGCTGGAGGAGCCCTCGCCCCGCGAGCGGTCCTCTGGCGAGTCCGTCAGGCTCTCCATCTCCAGTTCCGGCTCCTCCTCCGGGAACAGCGCGGCGCGCCGCTGCTCAGCCATGCTCAGCTCGATGGTCTTGAAGCGCCGCAGGCCCCCACCAGCTGGTGCTGGCTCCTCGCCCTCCTGGCTCTTGGTCTCCCTGGCCTTGCCCTCGGGGCTGTCATCAAAGGCCTCGTCTTCCTCATCGTGCCACGAGTGCCGGCGGCCCGCCTCCTCCTCCAAGCAAGGGCCGGGCTTGCGTGTGGGGCGGCGGTGGCGTCCGGCCATAGCCCTGCCCCTGCCCCTTGTGCCTTCTTGGGCCCCGGGCTCTGGCAGCCGCCGTCGTCGCAGCGCCCCGTCATCATCCGAGCCTGAGGCGTCCTCGTCCGCACTCATCTCCAGGATTTGTTTGCGAATGAAGTCCTCCTCGTCCCCAGAGCCCGCGCTGACCTCCTGCTTGTCCTCCTCACTACTGGAGGAGCCCACGCTGGCCCGGCGTTTCCTGGCTGGCACTGGCGAGGTTTCGCTTTCGCTGCTGTCCTCCAGCGAGGCACGACTGTCGCCCACCAGCCTAGCCCTCTCAGAGGGACCCTGGCCACCGGGCACGCCCTGCCGGGCCCCCTTCCTGGAAACATCTCTCTTTTCTTCCTGGCTTGCCTTGAGCTCCTCCTGGGCAGCAGGCCTCTCTGGGACTTTGGAGGGCAGCGGAGCTTTCTGTGAGTCCCTGGGCTGCTCGGGAGAGACCTCGCGGGGCTGCATCTTCCTGTCCGAGGTTTCATCAGCCCTGGTAGCTGCCTGGGCCTCCAGAATGGAGAGGACGGTGCTTTCTAGCTTGGCCAGGTCTGTGGGGCTGGGTGGGCTGCATTCTTGAGAAAAAGAGTCCTTTTTGAGTTCCTTGAGCAGGTCCTTCTCATCGCTAGGAATCAGACTTGGGATTTCACCAAGGGACCCCGATATTCCATCTGAAGAATATCCGGTGTCACTCAGGCCTTGTGGGCTTTTAGGCTGCTGAGAACTGGAGGTGTCTGACTTGTCCTCTTCCTTGTCCTAGCGGGAAGGAAAAGACACAGGAACACTTAAGATAGTGGCACTGGACATTCGCCTTTCCCTGCCCACATAACCATGAGGGTCTGGGAGCCACTCAACGACAGGGCAGTATTTTAAAATTCAAGTGAGAGTAAAAAATTAAAATAGTGGGAATATACTGATGAAGCTAATGTTCACTTTAAAAGTTAATTTACATCTCACTTCTTCATGATCTCTGAGTTTCTTCCATTAGTATTTTACTCTTGCACATTTAACTTTGCTTTCCAAGTACTGTTTCTCAATCTCTTTACTATGGAACGAGCTACAATTGTAAGAGAAAAAAAAGTTCATGGTGATTTTCTATTAGCATTACCTCTCTGGATTATTAAGTCAGGCCAAAGTGAGAAACAATCAAGAAGAAGAGCCTGGTGCTTGGCTGGGTGGTGGGAAATGTACATAACAGAAACAGCACTCTAGCGCTCAGAGGCCTCCTGTTCTGGTTTTGCTTTGTTAGTCAAACAAGGCCTTGCCTTTAAAGGACACTTTCAGAGCTATAGAACATAGTTTATTCTTGATATAGTTCTTACAATTATTTCTCTCTGCCACTTAGAGTGAATGCTTAGAAATTTTAAACTCTTAAAATGATTACAGGGCAAACTGCTCGGGTCCCCTTTCTGTCCCTCTCTCAGACAGAAGCTTTCTTTCTCTCAATAAATATTCTGCTCTTAAAAAAAAAAAAAGAAAAAATAAGAAAGAATAATTGTTCTGACTCATCAGTTCAGCTAAAGAGAAATATTCCACTTTTGTTTTCTACAGTCATTTATAGCATTGTGGCATCCCACATCAGTGTTGTTTCACACATACTGCTCATCTCATAGATTCTGAAGTCACCTGGTGGTGTTTGCGGAAGGCAGGTCCTTCCGCCCGGAAGTGACTACTGCCAGTGGGCCACACACTGTCCAGGAGCCAGGCCACCTGCTTACCTTGGGGGCCTTCCTTGTGCTGTGCTGATGCCACCATTTATCTCAAGAGCCACAGAGGTCTGTCATGAGAATGTTAGGCACAGAGACTGCTAATTACAGATGCCCATGAGCAGCATTGGGCCAGCTGATCCCCTTAGCTGCCAGGCTGAAGGAGTGTGTGGGATGGCCACAACCCTGTAAGAGAAGGGTCAGTGGGAAAGCGGTAACAGCACAGGGGCCTTCCTGGCTGATGTGCTGCCGAGATCCCATGGGGCCTGCACCTGGAGCGCTCTGATTGTTTCCGTGTGTGTGTGTGCACGTGCACGTGCGTGGGCATGTGTGCACATGGGCGCACAAGCTCTTCTGTTTATTGCTCAAATGAACACCTCAGGTTGCATAAGTAATGACATCACACAAAACATCTTTTCTCCTTCCCTTTATTTTTCTTCTGGCTACAGAGTTCTCAGATATAAATGCTGCTGACTTAATTCTCATTTAGATTCATTTTCATCTCAGTTTTTTACTTTACTACCCATGACTAAAGATATATCCTGAGCTCAGTACAAGGTCAAATGTTCTTGCTGAGTTAACATGCCTCAATTCAAAGGACAGTCTAATACAGCCTTAGCAACTTTAGTGCACAAAGCAACACCCAATCATTTTGATCACTGAGACCTATCTGGCTCATTTTAGGTGTCTTTATAGAAAATGTTCCTCATCTGGAGGTGAGATTATGATCTGAGCACCCAACTCACTTTGGCTACATTCCCAGGAGCTACACTCTGAAAGGCCAGGGGTACAGCCCTCTGGGAAAATCCCCAGAGTGGTCTCAGTGGGAAGATGTTCATTGGAATTGCATTTCACACAACTCAGGGCACACTTACACTTCTGGGCGCAGTATAGGCAGGTAGGACCATCCAGCCCTCACCAACTCTCAGTAAATAGCATCACCAGGAGCCTGGGGACTCTAAGATGTCTAAGAAAAACAGGTCCCAAAACATGATCTTTCATAATTTAAATTGAAGTATCATTTTGCATTCCTTGTGTCCACAAACCTGTGTTTCAAAGCTGCACATATGGAGAAAATGGAACTACTGTTTGTAGCAATTGAAAATAATGAAAGAGAAATTACTTTTATGCAATGGATTCCAAGGGCTCCACACACATTTTACAGAAATGAGAATATGATTTAGGCATACAAAATGGTACAAGGAATATTAGACAAAAGACTAATATATAAGACCAAAATCCCTACACTGTGACCCCCCCCACACACACACACCCAGCTTCTCTCTGTGCCCATGTTTTCCTTCCTTCCTCAGTACTCTTTTCTACCCACTTGTCCTCCCGGCCCAGGCCACTGTCCTCCACACCCTCTATCTCCACCTGTGGTGATGTTGCTGCGAGGACCCCCAAAATGACCCTGTCTCTCCTACATGGTAATGTGGTGAGCCTCCACTGTGTTTGCTCTGCATACTTGCGGGGTCTAAGATCAGATGCTGGCAGCAGCTGATCAGAAAATCAAGTTAGCTGACCAAAAGACATTTGGCTGATAAATTCAGAAGGAATGGCTTCTGCTTATTTATTATGGTATATTGAAAAAGATTACTGATGTCAGTGGCCACATGCAGCACAGCTCTTGAGAAACTCCTAGGGGAAGTTACCATGAGGACCTCAAGGTAAGAGTGAAAAGGCAGAAAACTGAGGTCAGGCAGAGCCCTCTCTCTTGGAGAAAAGGAACTTTTCAACCACTGCAGCATGTTTGTTTATACACCAGCAGGTTGATGGCAGGTGAAACCCCCGTGCCTAACAACTTGTTAGCCCAGCTCACCTTGGTGCCTCGTGTTCTCAGGGCTAGCTTTGCTCTAGTTCCACATGTGTGGTTGATCTGCAGCTCAGCCACTCTCCATAGTCAGTTTTTCCTGTATGACTAACTTTAGTGTGAGGTCCCTAACAGAGTTCACTATCCTACTTCATTACACTTCAGGCTTGTGAACCATCAGATCTCACACTGCCCAGGTCCTGTCACTTCTAGGGATGTATATATTCAGCTTTATAGGTGCTACTGATTTGTTGGAAAGCCTTCTCTTTGTTTTAGACAGAGACTGGCACAACAAAGTGCTTATTAACCCTGGCCCTTGGTTAACCCATTGCATATTATCCCCTGCTTTTGTGAGACATCTGCATTACCACAGGATTGCAGATTGTTCAGTGCAACTGGTGTATAATGCTAAACACTGCTTCCTTAGTAGCACCTATGAGAAATTAGGCCACATAAGAGACACTAGATGAAACACAGAAGAATGTAAAACTGTTAATTTAGATCCTGTTTTCTCTAATTATTCCCCTTAATAGATACCTGAATTGCCATAAATCTAGAGGACTCTGATCAAAAGATTCAGCTGAACGTAGCCTAATTCAGCTCATTTTCCTGAAAATATCATAATTCACATGACTAAAAGATTGGGAAATTTCTCTTAGTTACTACAAAAATATAAGGAGGTATATTTATTTTAAGCAGAATACTAAGCTATTTAGTAACATAGCATTTAATGATCTGAATTGAATAAAATGGTTCTTTCTAAATTATATGTTTATATGTGTGCATAAATATCACTGAGTTAAATTTTTTCATTTGAACAATCAGGATATTAGCATTTGTATTATTCATCCAATGTCTTTACATGCAAACAATTTAGAATAGCCTCTAACTATATAAAAATAAAATACCAAGTATGTTCATTTGTATGGGAATTTTATTTTTGTCTTCAACGGAGACAATGAGCATGAATGGCTATGATTTAACCATATATTTTTAAAATAGCTTTATTGGTTTTCATTTTCTCTAAGGAAACTTGTTTTTTGCTTTTTTGGAAGCATTGAAGGTTGAAACCAGCATTTTGCATTGAGCTATATTGCCAACCAATCTTTTTAAAGGTTTGACAGTGTCTCCTTTAGCCAGCCTCAGATTTGTGATTCTCCTTCCTCAGCCTCCCAGAGTGCTGGCATTACAGGTGTGTGCCACCACATCTAGCTCTCTTTTATAAAATAACATTGAAGAACATACTCTCCTATGCTGACTTCTGTTGTTACCACATCTGGCACTTTCCCCATGAATAGAATTATGACTTCTTTGGCATGTGTATCTAAAAATTACACAAAATTTCCAGTGGCTAAGATTCATTTATCAATTACTATCTAATAGTAGAGAGTGAAGAATTCCTTTTCCTTCCAACACCTCACACCCATTTTCTGACATAGAGGAAGGTAGTGATGAGTTGGGCCACATGAAACCCTCCCACTAGTATACATCCTTAAGATGTTACTTGTGATGGACAGTGTGCCAAGACATCTTTGAACTGTCAAGTTTGCTCTGCCCTTGTCAATAACAGCAAAGCTTTTATCTGTTCTTACTGAAGGCAAACAGTAGCTTTTTGACTAGTTTGACATATTAAGAATTGAATTCTAGGTTATATTCAAAAGGATGCAAAGAAAATGTATTACATTTTAGGTTACTTTTCCCAAAGCCATTTATTTTTGATAGACTAAAATTACATAACAAATTCATAATCTTTTATCATTTACACAAAGTTTTTGTGCATGAGTTGATAATCTGGGTGCTTGAAACATTCCAAACAAGATGAGTCCATAAAATTCACAGGGCTTAAAGGGAAAGCTCAAACATTCCCACCACAATGTCACTACAGAAAACCTGATTATGTCTCACCCTGTCTGACTGTATGGTCACTGCATACAACAGTATTAGATCTGCATATTAATATTTTAAGTCATTTGAAGCAGAAATTAAAGAACATGCTTCAGCCTATTTAGCATAGAGTCTCACTGCTCTGACATCAAGGGAGCTATAGTATTTCAGTGCAATATATCAAATGTAGCGTTAAAGAATATTCTGCTTGGGGCTGGGGGGAGATGGCAACCATAAAGGTCTGAGTTCAATCCCCGGTTCCACCAAAAAAAAAAAAAAAAAAAAAAAAAAATATTCAGCTTAAGTATAGAAGAGAATTGGGTAGTACCATGACTTGTAGAAATATTAAGAAA